TTAAAGTTCAAATTTCTAAAAATCCTTTGGTACATCTACCCTGCACTCCATCGGTGATTCTTGGGATCAATACAAAGTATTCAAATTTTAGTATTTGTACCTATTTAGTGCGAATTTCCAAAAACTCAGCCTTATCACATGCCTACGCACCAAGACGGACTCTGGTTAAAAATTTACTCTACTACTAACTCTGTTCCTACTTTATATGCAAAGGTAAGTGGGCATTTCTAAAACCACTCGCCAAATCTCAGACCTACACACTAACAGTGAACCTAATGAGAAATTTCAGATTTCAAGCATTATCCGTTTACGTACCTTTCGTACGTCTACTGAACGAATTTCCAAACCTAATTCTTTATCATAATCCTACCTACCAGCAGATACCCCACAGATCAGTATTTGAAATTTCCTGATCATACCTTTCAATCAAAACCAAATTTTAACATTTAGTACAGTTGTTACACATTTCCAAATACCACTTCCCAAACTTAAATTTTGTACCAAATGTCCAGCTGTATCCCTTCACAAAATACCGAATTCTCATAAATTCATAAATTCAAATTCTCAAATCTTCCTCCATGCAATCCTGCAACCCTACACCCCAAATTACCAAAACTGTCTTCATACCCCAATTATACAATCCCATCGAAATCATATTTCCAAATTACAGAATTGCAGCTCTATCTGTGCACCACAATTCCAATTTGTACAATTTGTAACAACCTGCATCATACAATCCAATAAACATTTTAATTCCTAATTTCAGGATTCCGACCTATCAGTTCACCCAAATCCAAATTGTACCAAATTTAGTACCATTTATTATACCCTACAACACTGTGTGTTGGGGGTATTATAAGTTTGATTGGGCCAAAAATTATGTAACACCTCGAAATATTGATTTCCCACATAGGAAAGTATATATGGATCTTCCTATCTCGCCGAGCTGAGTCGATCTAGCTATGTATGTCCGTCCGTCGGTCTGTCCATGTTAATTTGTAATCACTCTACAGGTCGCAATTATAGCCCGATCTTCAAGAAATTTAGAATGGAGGTGGGGATAAGGTCAGTATAGAACCCTATTTCTTTTGGAGATGATCGCAAAATATTAAGGGGTCGAAATGGACCAAAAACTGAAAAAATCCTGATTTTGCAGTTGCTCTACAGGTCGCAATTATGGACCAATCGACGCGGAAATTAGCATGTGGCTAAAGCTTCGGGCTGGGCAGAAGCCTTCCGATTTTGAAGGCCATCGGATAATATTTAGTGGGTGAAAAAGACTATAACATTTGTGTTAAATAAAAGTCAAATTTTCCATTAAACCGCGAATATTTTTAGTCCCAGCGAAATCATAAATAGACGAACGGGTCAATTCTGACCGTTACGTAGATGCCGATATTAAATATATCGGATATATATAGCGAAATATATACAATGTGTATATACAAAGGAAAGGAATGTTAGATGGAATGCTTATATCTCAAGAATGGCTGGACCGATTTTGACAAATTTTGTCAATTCAGAATGCCCTCTTGACATAAAAGTATAAAATCTAAAAAAATCGCATAAAAATAAGTCAAACATGATCTTAATATAGATTTTTTAGTATTTTGTGACGTTTTTTTATTTTTTCATATTTTTTATCGCATGCGATTTTTATACCCTACACCACATAGTGGTAAGGGTATTATGTCTTTGTGCATTTGTTTGTAACATAGAGAAGGAAACGAGATAGACCCATAGTTACTTTTGAGAACCTTCATAGAATCACTTTCTGAGTCGATTTATGCATGTCAGTCCGTCCGTCTGTCCATGTATTCTTGTGAACAAAATGCAGGTCGCATTTATTATCCGATTGAGATGAAATTTTCCAAACAATTTTTTTGGCCCAAGGACGAACCCTATTCGAATTTATATATAGCTCCCATATATATCTTCATCCGATTTCGGGTTAAATGTGCACCAAATGTCCACTATCAGTCCAAATTACCTGAATTTTGGCACACCCAACCGAGTTCGGCCTAGCAGCAAGTATATCAAATTTAGAAAATCGGTTCAGATATAGCTATAGCTCCAATATATATCTTTCATCCGATTTGATCTTTAAGTCCCTCACATTCCTACTATGCACTCCACAACCGTGATATTTGGTACCAGGTATTAGATGGAGCACAGAAATAGCTGTTTTCAATTTTATCGAAATCGGTTCAGATTTGGATATAGCTTCCATATATATCTTCATCCGATTTCGGGTTAATTGGCCACCAAGTGGCCAATATCAGCCCAAATGTCCCGAACTTTTGCACATGTGACCGAGATTAGCCTTAAAGCAAATACAACAAATTTGGAGAAAATCGGTTCAGAAACAGCTATAGCTCCCATATATATGTTTTATCCGATTTGGTGCTTAAGCCTCTCACATTGGTAATATGCACTCCACAAGAATGATATTTGGTACCAGATAAAAGATACAGCCCAGAAATAGCTGTTTGTAATTTTATCGAAATCGGTTCAGATTTGGATATAGCTCCCATATATATCTTCATCCGATTTCGGGTTAATTGTGCACCAAATGGCCGATATAAGTCCAAATGGACTGAATTTTAGTACATCGGACCAAATTCAGCCTAGAAGCATGTATATAAAATTTAGTGAAAATCGGTTCAGATATAGATATAGCAACCATATATATGTTTCATCCGATTTAGTGTTTTAGTCCCTTACATTCGTAATATTCACTCCACAACCGTGATATTTGGTACCAAGTATTAGATGGAGCACAGGAATAGCTGTTTTAAATTTTACCGAAATCGGTTCAGACTTGGATATAGCTCCCATATATATCTTCATCCGATTTCGGGTGATTGACCACCAAATGGCCGTAATAGCATCAATTTTCGCAAATCCGTAAAATGCACCATAGAATTAGATAGATTTTGATTTTGTACCAAATATCTCATACAGCTCTGAAATGCCCTGTATAAACCTTTTTACGAGAGCTCTACTAAATATGCATAGTGGTGTAGGGTATCATATAGTCGGCCCCGCCCGACTTTTGAGCTTTCCTTACTGGTTTCAATTTGACTTATAATATTAAGGTGTACATTTTGTAATATTTTTCCACCTTACAACACAGGTTTGGGATATTATATACAGATTGCAATTATCGTCCGATCCTCACGAAAAGGGTAGGGTTAAGCTCAGAAGAGCTAGGCCTATTGTTTTCAAAGATATCCGCAATATATTTAGGGGTTGAAATGGACCAACAACTAAAAATGTTCCTGATTTTGCAGCCGTTATAAAGGTCATAAATAGAAACCAAAGGACACGAAATCTCGCATGAAGTTAGGTCATAAATAGAAACCAAAGGACACGAAATCTCGCATGAAGTTAGAGTTTAGGACAGCGGGTAGAATGGACCACTACTTTTGTCTGAAAAATACCTACATTACTTACAGGCGATAGCCGAAGTACAAAAAATGCGAACTTCTGCCTTTTTTTGCTGATTTCGTTGACGAATATAGCCAAATATCGTAGACAAGAAGATCGTATAGAAGAGTCTAAATTTGGAGATACAGAGGAGCCTCTTGCTTGTGGAGATGATCGCAAAATACGACAGAGTGCGTAAATATTGGGCAAATGTCCCTGGTCAAAATGCTAAGGGTAATATATGGGCAGTGCTCCGTCACATAATTTTAAAAGCGAAATCTTTAAAAATGGATTTGGACATAATGGGGCTTCTAACATATTGTAGTGTTGTAGGGTATCACATGGTCGGCCCCGCACGACTATAGCCTTTGCTTACTTGTTACACATAAGTTAGAATTTCCAAAGCTTCCAACATACCACAATTCTACACTCCCACAGTTTTCTTATTTCCAATTTTCAGGATATCAGCTCTATTTGTTTACCGAAATCCAAATTCTACCAAAGTAAGCTGCATGTAGTAAACATGTGCACGAATTTCCGAAACTACCTACATACATCAGTCCTGCAATGCAATAGTAATCTTATTTCCGATAATTCCGATAATCTTATTTTAGCATTCCAGCTTTTTCGGTTCACCCAAATCGAAATTGTTCGAAAACTACCTCCATATCCAAATCCTATACTCCACCAGTAATGTTATCCACAAATATAGTAAGTTTCCTTAGCATACTTTATGTCTCAGATTTAATTCCCTTTGATAATATATGCTTATATTTATTCAATCTCCTATAGCGTACTTATCTAAAGTACTAGATCATTAATATTCTTCTACAACTGGCCACCACCGAGATTTATTTGTCCTTCTGTCAATGTTCAATAAAAAACCAATAAATTCTAATGTGAAAACGCTACTGAATAGGTGGAAGAAAAGATAAAAACAACTGGTAATAAACTTGATTTTGAAGATGATAATGCAAGAATTACGTAGCTACTTGTTTTGCATCTTTTTGTGCCACTCATATCGGCCGAAGATAGCGCCGTTTAAGTACTCCCCATTCACAACTTACAGTCGGCAGACCTAAGAACAAATCGCCCATAAATGTTTTGTGCTGTGTGTGTCCAGTATCTAAACCGGAAACGTACAAAACTTTTATTGGCTACCGCTAATAGGAGATGATGTTTTGACAGATTGCAACGCGCATCTGGCACCAGCAATCACTACTTGTTTGTTTGCTTAGCTTGTTGTTGGCCGTTTTACCGCTACATTTCGGACACATCCCCGTTCCGTTGCTCCGACCGCTTGTGGTTGTTGCATTCCACAGATTCTGGGCCTGAAATGAAAAATAAAAAGAATAATGATCCAGTAGAAAATGTTTGCAGCTGGCTTTTAGCTTTTAATGCCGAAACCTCATAATGAGTTGGAGGTGGAGATGGAGTTGGAGATGGCATACTATGCGTACGTTTGCTCGTTTGTCTGTTGGGGTGCGTTCGTTCATGCCCTGCGGCATTTCCATTGTATAAATACGCAGCGCATTTGCCGATCTACAATTAGTTTATTTACAGAGCTCAAAGAGATAATTGCACAACTTCGAAGATATAACTCGAAGAACGTCTTCCAGATCAGAGATCCATCATAGCGACCGTTTACTGTGAATCAACCGCGTGCTCCGTGTTCTATGCTAATTACAATTGAAATCGAGAGTTGACTACAACAAATTCAAATTTGTCGAAATTGTCATTTGATTCTTTTTTTTGCTGTAATCAGTTTGAAACTAACAACAAATCGAAGTGAATGTAGTGAAAAATCCGGTCGGAAAACAAAGTTTGTTGTGATTGCATTTATTTGAGTGAAATATTTGAGAAATTTTCGCCTAAATATGGGAACAATGGAGAAAATTCGCTATCGGGTAAATTTTTTAAAAAATAAACAAATATATTTGGATTGAAACTTTGAAGCGGTCTCAACATATTTATAACTGTATCCAAAATTTCTTCGATATTACATTAAAGATCCTACGAATCTTTTGAATATATTGAGAGTATTTAATATATATTGGTAATAGATCTCAAAGAGATGCAAAGAATCGGTACAAATTTACGAAATCAGAATCAATATAAAGGTCAGATGTGCCACTTTTATGTACCACCGATTTCGTCGGAAAGTGCCTTTCAGTTTTAAAAACTATCGCGATTGAATGGAAATTTTGTAAATTTTCACACAAAAATTATGATTCATTTCATCCGTATCCGATGACCAACCTGACCCTCATCTTAACTTCAAGCAATTTCGGTACGAGACTAAAGACGGACACACATAGCTAGATCGATTCAGCTCAGCGAGATAGGAAGATCGATGTATAACATTGAGGATCTGGGACTCATATTTTCGAGGTGTTTCAATCTTCAATCAAAGTTAGTAGACATAGTATTTTGGGATACGATAAAGAAACAAGTAAACTTAAGTAAGGAAAAGTCTAAAGGCGGGCGGGGCGACTATATATTTAGTAGGGCTCCGTAACAAAAGAATTTATTTGAAGTATATCATACCACTTATTAACATTTGGATATAGAGCAGTTTTAGTTTGGTTTCAGAATTCGGTCGATGTGCCAAAATTCATGTCATTTGGACTGATATTGGCCATTTGTTACACAATTCACGCGAAATCGGTTGAAGACATGTATGGGAGCTATATCCAAATCTGAACCGATCTTGAGAAAATTTGGCAGACGTATTTCTGGGCTATATCTAATATCTGATACCAAACACGATTCTTGTTTGGTGCATTAAACGAATGTGGGGGACTTAAACACCAAATCGGATGAGCAGTTATAGTTTGTTTTCAGAATTCGGTCGATGTGTCAAAATGTGTCATTTGGACTTATATTGTCCATTTATCACATAATTAACCCAAAATCGATTGCAGATATATATGGGAGCTATATCCAAATCTTAACCGATCTTGAGAAAATTTGGCAGACGTATTTCTGGGCTAATATTAATATCTAAAACCAAACACGATTCTTGTGGGGTGCATTTTACGAATGTGGGGGACTTAAACACCAAATTGGATGAAGCATATATATGGGGGCAATAGCCATATCTGAACCGATTTTCATCAAACTTGATGTACTTACTTCTGAATTCGGTTGTATGTGCCAAAATGCAGGTTATTTGAATTTATATTGGCCATTTGGTGCACAATTAACCCGAAATCGGTTGAAGATATATGGGAGCTATATCTAAATCTGATCTGATTACTACAATTTTAATAGGGTTCGTCCTTGGGCCAAACAAATATTGTTTTGAAAATTTCATCTCGATCGGATAATAAATGCGACGTGCATTTTGTTCACAAGAATATATGAACGGGCGGACGGACAGACGGACTGACATGCATAAATCGACTCAGAAAGTGGTTATATGAAGATCCTCAAATCCAACTATAGGTCTATCTCGCTTCCTTCTCCATGTTACAAACAATTGCATAAAGACATAATACCCTTACCACTATCTAGCGTAGGGTACAACAGTTAAGCCGAACTTTAAATACCCTCCAGCATTTGGAAGGAATTGCAAATTATCCAAAAAAAAAAAATCGGTTGTTACAAATAGGCAATTTTTGACACAGGCCATACTCAACTACGAAATATGAATCAATTTCGGTGAACAATGTCACAACAACATCGAAATTCCGAATATTTGGGCTAAACGAAAACGTGGATTTTTACAGGCTGTAGAACCCATTATGAACTTCAAATACAAAATTTGAAACAATTTCGGTAAATATTGTCGCTAAAATCATCAAAATACCGAATATAGGGAGGTACCGTAATATGGGGGCTGTGCGAAAACGTGGACAAGTGAGAACAAATTTGTGATTTAGGACGAAGTATCTATTAAGAACTTCAAATCCCAAATTTTAAAAAAAATTCCGGTAAAAAGTGTGACACAAATCATCAAAATACCTAATATCTGGAGGTACAGTTATATGGGGACTATAGCAAAACTCAGACCTATATTGATAGTTCTATGCAAGGACGTTTCTTACGTAATGAGAAAACAAATTGTAAATTTATGCGAATTTTGGTTAAAATTGTGACTAGAACACCCAACAAAACTTAAATCAGTCGGTATAGTTATATGGGAGGCTATATAAAAACGTGGATCTATATAGCCCATTTTCAATACCACAAATCATGCACACCAAACACACATCTGAGTAAAATTTAATCAAACTACTTTATAACATTCGGAAGCTTGAGTGATTTCCACAGACGGCAGACAGATTGTGATATACACAATGTCAAAATGAGGACCTATATCAACAATTTTTTGCAAGTCAAAAACAAAATTTTAGACAATTTCGTTGAAAAAATTGGGGAAAGCCATCATAATACCGAATATGGGTGGTGCTGTCCAATGGGAGATGTGGACCTATATTAACTATAAAGGCCAAACTGGTTTGGAACCCGTAACAACCTTCAAATGCCAAATTCCCGACAATTCCGTTGAAAAATGTGCAGAAAATCGTCAAAATGCTTAAAATAAGTTATTTGGGCTATATACAAAAACAAACTCTACAAACTCTAAAGCCGACGTAGCCCATTTTTAAACTTTATATGAGTCCATACCTAAATCACTTCTATAAGTTTATTCTCAATTCCTTCGGAAGAAATCGTGATTAAATCGAATTAGAATTTTTCACAGTACATTTATGATTACTTTGATGAGTTACAAATGGAATGGCAAACTTAATATACCCTCAATGTTATGGTGGAGGGTATAAAAATAGGAAATAGGGCAGTCATAATTGCGCGAGATTGGTGTAAATTTGAAGTGGCATTTGTAAATTTTCTAACTGACTGATAAATATGTAAAAAATATACCTATAGCCCGAAAAGCTTGGTCCCATCTCTTTTAAATTTCGAATTATTAAATGTTTAATTTTCTGGTGTTCTGTACCTTATTTGATTCCCCCGGTTCTGAATTGAAATCGGTTAATTTGGATTTATATTCGCCATTTGGTGCACAATTAACCCGAAATCGGTTGAAGATATATGGGGGCTATATATGAATGAATGATCCGTTTATCACCAATTTCAATAGGGTTCGTCCTAGAGCCAAAAAATATTGTTTGGAAAATTTCATCTCAATCAGATATTAAATGCGACCTGCATTTTGTTCACAAGAATACATGGACAGACGGACTGACATGCATAAATCGACTCAGAAAGTCATTGCTTTTGGAGATGATCGCATAACAGTAAGGAGTTGCAATGGACCAAAAACTAAAAAAATTCCTGATTTTCCAGTTGCTCTACAGGTCGCAATTATAGACAAAAGGCGAACTTCTGGCTTTTTTATGATGATTTCTTTGTCGAATATAGTCAAATATCGTAGACAAGCAAGTCATGTAGATGAGTCTAAATTTGGAGATATAAAGGGGCATCTTGCTTTTGGAGACCATTTGGATTATATTAACTGTAAAATGGACCACAGCAACTAACAGCACGACGGAGTGCGTAAAATTTGGGCAAATGTCCCTGGTCAAAATGTCATAATTTCAAAAGGGAAATTTTCCAAAATGGATTTGGATATAAAGCAGCTTCTAACATATTGTACTGTCGTAGGGTAGTACAGGGTCGGCCCCGCACATCTATAGCCTTTGAATACTTGTTTCATAGTATGGAGGGTATATAAGGTTCGTTATTCTCATGTAACTCATCGAAATAATAATTTTAGACTTAACAAGTCTATATATTCTTGATCAGCGTATAATTCTAAGACGAGTTTGGAGAATTGTCTTAAATTTTACACAAGGAGTTCTTTGTGAGTACTTTACTCCCTGAAAGAGAATTGTCGATACAGGTCCACTATATCGTATGACCCCCATTTAACGGTACCTCCCAATATTCGGTATTTTCATGATTTTAGCGACATTATTCACCGGCATTGTTTCAAATAGCAGCGACATTATTCAACGGAATTGTTGAGTGGTATTTTTCGACGGTTTTTTTTTTGACATTTTTCAGCCCGACGGAACTTAGCTGCTATTTTACTTTTTCACGATTTTCAGGAATTTTGCAAAGGAGCAAGGCTAGGATCAGAATAAATGCGCATTGGAATGAAACAAAAAGTGCCTACATGTTGAAGTTCTTAATTAAGATCAGCGCTGAAGCCTAGCATTTTGAATGAACATCGGATAATATCGAGCTGATTAAATGGACCACAATTTGTGTGAAAAAATATAAAACTTACCGAAATAATAATGTTTTCAATATGGAACAAAAACTTTGAATGTGAAATTTCTGTTCTTTCCGAGAGAGAGAGAATTAGATATTTGTCATAGTAGGAATATCTGCTTCGTCAAATATCGATAGAATTAGGTTCAATATTTGCGCTTATAATGTAGTACATATTGGGTTGTTTCTTAGGTGCCCCTTCATTCTAGTCAAAAGAGTTTCGGATCTGCAGAAACTTCGCAAATTATAGTGTTGTAGGGTATCAAAAGTTCGCCCTCCCGATAATAGCATTTGTTACTTGTTAGATCTATTTTTAAAATCTTGAATATTTTGAATTTTGTAGCACGTGTAATTGTACATCTATGCATAAAAGAAAGTTGTATTAGTTAATACGCTTATAACTCAAGAACCGCTGGTCTGATTTTAACGATTCAGACAAATTCGGAATTGTCTCTTGGTAAAAAAGAATAAAATCAAAAATAGAAAAAAAAAACGCGTAAAAATGTTTAGTTTAAAAATTTTGAAATGTACAATCGTAATGTTTTATATTGCACGATTTTTTTTCCATTTTGACTTACTATATTTGTACAGTTTATTTTCTTTTTGAGTTATAATATGATGTGTAGTCTTCTTGGGGTAGTAGAAAGCCACAACGGAAAAACATGTTATTTATAGATTTTACGATTTATTTGGTAAGTGGAACTATACGAATAATATCATATTAGAAGAGGACATAAAATAAAGAATTATTTTCACCATATAAAAAAGTTGTGTTAATTATTACGCTTATAACTCAAGAACGTCTCAATGGATTTTGACAATTCATACAATTTTGAAATAGTATCTTGGCAAAAAATAATCGCATGAAAATATGCCGATTAAAACAATAAACAAAAAACAAACAAAGCAAAAAACAATTTTGTCGTGTTTTTTTTTTTGTCAATTTGGCATATTTTTATTGTTTTAATTCTGAATGAAAAATATTAAAACTGAAACGAGTGCGCAATACGATGTTAAATTGCGATCTCTCATGTATAAAATTGGCATCTACCTTTCAACTCTAGGACCTACATCGTGCTTCAGCTGGAAGATACGAACACATTAAAAAAAAAATGACCGACAAAGCGTTATGGGGCTCATTTCAACTTTTTTCATATGACAATAATCCGTCCAATAAGAACTCAAAATGCAAAATTCATTGGGACTGTAATCAGTTAAATACCGAAAATAGTAAAGCGAATTGGAAATTTAGTAAGAAACATATTTGTGTCCTTCAAGAATTTCTTCCCAAATTTTTAAGATACCTTAAATCGCTTTTGAAGTCATGATATGGGTCATGATCCCCGGATAAGGGTACAATCCGATTTCAAGTATATATTTTTTATTTTTTTTTTTCGGGGTCTTGAAGAGTTTTTTGGCCTTATTTTGGCATCTTGGTTTCTAAGGGGGTAGAAAACCTCTCCGCATAAAATTTTCAATTTTCGGAATATGACCCATCTTGGTAATCAAATTCATCGATTGATTTTGGCCCTGGGATGGAGAACTATTATACAGATAATTGTCTACATATGCATTTATTTAAGTCCACTTTCCCAACCAATGTGTAGTCAGAAAAGAAAATTTTGTATTCTATTGAATTTTTACCTCCAAGAGAATATTGGTTGGGAACGTATATTTGGGATGTACGTCTATATGAAATAAATTCGGAAATCTCAAACTGGGATAGAAACATGAAAAAATTAAGAATAATAGAAAGTGGATCAGGACAGAAATCGTCATTGAATTATACTATGATGAAAAACATGGGGTCTTCAACGCACAATTTAAATGACAAAAAAATTAATTCCATTCTTCCGGTAAAATATATATTTGAATATTCTGAAATCATTCCGCCCCTAATTATGAGGTGGATAAAACTAAATACCACACAGCACAATATTCTAAACGTTGGAAATACAAATTCCAAAGTACAGCTCATTTGAATGGAAACTGATGTTAAGCTTTTTACTATACCAAAAATTGAGCTAAGATTTCATATGGGGCTATTATCAGACTAATATAATATAATCATATAATTCCTAAAACCCTGAACATCAATTATAATATTTGCCATGAATTTACATTTAGAAATAACTATGGAGTCATTACTTATAATAACAATTGTGCCGCTTACATAAGTACGTAAATTATTATGCTTCAAAAAATATGTATTAAAGCCTAAAAGTAAGGGGCCGACAACGCGGATCGGGCCAGCTACTCATTATTATAAAGCGATCAGTCAGTTTTTACACCTTCGTGATTGATCGGTCAAACAAGATCATTGAAATTTGCATGGGAATCGACCTTTATGAAGATGTATTTTAACATTTTGTAAATATTTTTTACCGCTACAGAAAGTGGTAGAATCCTTAAATGTCGTTTTTGCATTATCTGATTTCGTCATTGTACGAGTATTGTCCAAACTTGTTAAAGCATTTTCCCAATAAATATTCTCTATTCATAATATTCGATTTTCTCTTTGCAGTTTTTTACAGTTTTTCTATTGACCTTAGCTGTGTTGCTGAATACATGCCAGTCTCAACAGAATACTCTTTTCAATCAATCACCATTCCAACGACAGACACCTAATTTCCAGCGTCAACAGTTGCGGCAACGTCAACAATTACAACTGCAGCAACCGCAACAACAATCACCGTTCCCCGTAAATCCCCTGGCACCGGGTATTAATCCCCTGCAGCCTATATCACCACTCTTACCACAGGTGTGTAAATAAATCGAGAATTTGGAGAGAGAAAATAAATAATAGTATCTCTCTATTTTTCACAGAGCATCTATCGAAATTACAATCAGAATTTTGTACCCATAACGGCATATCAAAACGAACTGAACTACGATGGCAGCTTTCAATATGGTTATGCGGCTGGCGATGGAACAACTGCTCAAGCTCAGGGTTATGTAAAGAATTTAGGACTGGGTGAAGCCGTGGAGGCACAAGTTGTTCAAGGTTCTTATTCCTATACTTCACCCGAGGGAACCCCGATAACAGTGCGTTATATTGCCGATGAAAATGGTATGTATCAGAGTATTTATGTTATTCCTACCACCTTACTCAATTAAATATTTTTTTAAAAGGTTTCCGGGCCGAAGGTGCCCACATACCCACGCCACCACCCATACCCGATGCCATTGCAAAGTCTCTACAGTTCATTGCTAGCTCTCAACCCTATCAAGATGGCATTAGTCCAAACCTGAATCCATATCAAACACCCTATAGACAATTCTCCAATGTATTGAGACCGGGCCAAACACAGCTGACACCATTGCAATTGCAACAACAGCAACGTTTCCTGCAGCAACAACAAAACTCCGGACAATATCAACAAGACTCTCAGTTTGGTTATCCTCAAACATCGCTGCAATCGGGCTCCAATCAATTTCAGTCTACACCCCAGGCAGGTTCACAAGGCAACTTTTTGCAGCAACAAAATCTACAGCAACAACAACAGCAGCAACATTTAAACAAGCAACAACAACAGGGCGATCAACAGCAACAACAGCAGCAGCAATTGACTACACAGGAACTGAGAGCGAGACCTAACCAGCTTGTAAATCCTTTCGGATACAATAACCCTTATCGGAGATTTAAGAAATCCGCCACGAAATCATCGACGAAACAGGATTGAAGACGACTGCACCACGAATCAAGCGAATGAAACTGACCTTGTATCTATTTGTGTATCTGTATGTTAATGTCTGTTAAAATGTTTGTGCAACAACAACAAAAATAAACGGTTGTTGTCTATATATATATATTTAAACTAAGCATCTCTCTATATGATTGTTAATAATGATAATTATCATTTAACTCATCAGTATTATTAACATTAAGTATCGCATCAATCGCATGAAAATACATGCAACAAAAATCCACATTTAGATGTTTTATTTTAATAAATATTAAAGCATACTTTTAGGATCGGCTTTTAACCAATGGGGTGCAATAGGGTGATACATCTAAGATCAAAACTTTATGTGTGCTGTACATTGTAAATGAGTCTTAGATGAATATCTGTAAATTTTATACTAGAGGGCGCCAGTCAAGTCTATGTAATTGCAATGCACCAAAATAAATGAAGACCAAAGTGTTCCTCCATATCTACTCCATAATTTTTATACCCTTCACTATAGTATGGAGGGTATAATAAGTTTGCCATTCCGATTGTAAGACCTCGAAATACACATTTTAGCCCCAACAAAGTATATATATTCTTGATCAGCATACAATTCTATATCAATTTAGCGATGTCCGTTCGTCTGTGGAAATCACTCTAGCTTCCGAACGAATTGAAGTAGATTGATAAAATTTTACTCAAATGTATGTTATGTCTGCTGGGCTTTTGATATTGAAAATGGGCCATGTACGTCCACGTTTTGGTAAAGCCCCCATATAACGGTATCTCCCGATATTCGGTATTTTGATGATTTTAGCGACATTATTTATCGGAATTGTTTCAAATTTGGTATTTAAAGTTCGTAATGGATACTGCAGCCTAAGACAGAAAATTGTTTGTGCAAGTCCACGTCTTCGTATAGCCCCCATATAACGGTACCTCTGATATTAGGTTCTTTCTTTATTTTAACGACATTATGCAACGGAATTCTTTCAAATTTTATATTTGAAGTTTGAAATGAATACTACAGCCTATGACAGAAAATTGTCTGTGCAGGTTCACGTCTTCGTATAGCCCCTATATAACGGTACCTCCCTATATTCTGTATTTTGATGATTTTAGCTACATTATTCACCGATTTTTTTTTAAGTTTCGCATTTGAATATTGTAATGGCTTATGATAAAAGTTACCTATGCAGGTTCATGTCGTCGTATAGACCCTAATATAACAGCTACATTCTGTATTTTTAAGATTTTAACAGAATTTTTAACGGTTTTTATTGTTTTTGAGAATTGTCAAATTCGTTCCAAATGCTGGAGGGTATTCAAAGTAAGGCCCGGCCGAACTTACAGCTTTTTTACTTGTTACATTTTTTACAGGATGAGATAAAAAACTGCAAATGCCATCATTTACACATTTTTTAATTTTATTGAACGAAAGCAAAAAATGTAGAAAATGGCATCAAATTTTAGAATAACTTTAGATTTGTTCGAATTGATCAGCTTTGACACAAATTATGACTTTCAAACGGCTTGAGGTGATCGTTACTTTGGCATTTTTAGTGGCAACCTTGCCAGGAATCCAGAGATTTTGGTGGCCTTGCTTTTCAATCCAGATATCCAGGTATCCAGAGATTTTGTTGGCGCGTGCTGAGTGCGATGGTACTGAGTCCTGTTGGAATGTCCAAGGTCTGTGGCCAAAATGTTTGCGTGCCCAAGGCTTTAATACACCCTCCAGAATATTTTCTCGATAATATTCGGCATTTATTCTGATGCCACGGTCGGAAAGCGACCATCGGCTGTTATGGCGACCCACACCATCACCATGGCCGGCGCTTGAGTTCTAGTGGCCAACCGAATGTGAACATTTTCAGTTGACCTCTTTGACATGTAAACACGATCTTTTTATTTGTTTACAAACTGCTGGACAACGAATGTTTTCTCATCGGAGAAAACCAAATTCGGCAGTTCACCACTTTCAGCCAAGCGATGCAACTCTTTAGCTCTTTTGAGTCTACTTACTTTCTGTTGCGGTGTAAGTACTTGTATTTTTTGGAATTTCAACGGCTTTACCCCAAGCTGATTTTTCAATATTTGCGAATGGAATATTGCGATATGTTCAGCTCACGAGCCATTTTTCGGCCATTGCGACGCGGGTTTTGATCAAGTCGCATCCTTACTTTTCAAACCAATTCTGCTGATCTTGTTGTTTTCTTCCGTCCGCATCTTTGACGTCGGGCTACGCTACCAGTATCACGGTAACGAGCAATGGTACGAGACACAAAAGATTTATTCACATTTATATGCTGTCACTTGTGGTTTTTCAGCCAAATATAAAGAAATCACACTATCACGCTTGAAATCCAGCACGAATAACTTTTTTCTGGATAATTCTCAACAAAATGCTTTTGTACGCTTATAAACAATATAATGAGCTGTCAATGGAATAATTTTAACAGCTGTCGGACGAGTGACTTCGAACTGACAGCAGTCTGAAGTTGGTTGCAGTTGTTTCATCTCACCCTGTATATATACAAAAAGGAAATTGTTTGTACGTTTGTTTATTTGATTCAAAAACTGTTGAACAGATTTTCCTGAAAACTTTCCGAATATACTACAGCATCGCCTGAAAGTAACGTAGGCTATATAATTTTTTAAAATTCCACATTGAACTGAAGATATAGCGTAGGAATCGGAAGTACCTCTAGAAAATTTAGTCAGTAAGTCTCCAAATTTAGAATGTGTAACGGAAATCGGAACAAAAATAAATTTGCCAAATTATTTTGTAATCGGTTAAGAGTTGAATATAGCTACCATATATATTTTCGGCCGATCTCACATATTTGATGCAACAAACCACTGAATGTTTGTCCGATTCCAATGAAATTTAGAATGAGTGACGGCTAGTATTGTTTAATAACATTTAAATCGGACAAAGATATATATGAAAGGAATGTCTGAATAGAAAGAATACGTTGTACCGTAATGTAGTACAGTAACATAAAAATGGAGCAATACTCACTTCAAGAGTGCATTGAAATTCTAAAAATTCACTTGAAAAATGGGGCAGTTCGTCAAACTAAAGCATTTTTGGGTAGTCGAGAAGCATCTTGTCGGAACGCAGCTCCGACCAATTGATACAAAATTTTGCATATTCGTTCAACTTGGCCCTATAACTCACTAAACAGTGATGTGTTTTGGGTGCATCGGCTTTTCTGTGTCCCAAATGCTACAATGGTCTGAACTGTATATGCTGTAATCAAATGTCATTTCTTAAGTATATCCCTCGGTTTATTCCACTACCTGAAACTCGCCATTTTGCATATTTCTGCCACTACCTACGAAGCCCTAATATTTAGATTTTAGAATATTTTTTCGTCAATAATTGTGTAACATTGGCTCACCGACGTAGCCGAATTCTCCCTTCGAGAGTTATCGTGCGCACCAGCCAGACAGACGGACATAGCTAGATCGACTCCAAATGTCCTGACACGTATTTGGCAAAAAGGCCTAGGGTCTAAATCCGTCCTTTTTTCTGCATATTACACCCAAATGCACAGACATAATAGGTTGTACTATTGCGTGGCGTGGATGACAATTTTTAAAATTCAATTCAAAAAGATTCTTCAATTCATCTATCTAGAGATGATTACTATTTTTAATGGTCAGAGTTCTATGTGACCGTCGCACAGTGGGGTGAGATCCCCAAAAACGGAAACTAATTCTATAGCTCTGGAATGCATATATTTTTGACCTATTTTACTATATATCCAATTTCTTGGCTATCAGCATCACTTTAATGGCCAGAAGTGACCTAATGTATTTTTGATTTAGCTGCGATTAAAAATATTCACAGTTTAGTGGAAATTTTCGTATCTTTTTACATAAAATTTAGGATCTATTTTACCCGCTAAATACTGTTCGGCAAATTGGTAGGCTTCTGCCCAGTCCTAAACTTTAACTACATATAAATTTCAGCGTCGATTGGTTCATAATTGTGGCCTATAGGACAACTGCAAAATCTGGGAAATGTTCCGTTTTTGGTCTATTTCAACCCCTAAATATTTTGAAAAAATAAGGTTCTTTTCTGACTTCCATTTTCAATTTCATGAGAATCGGACCATAATTGCGACTTGTAGCTTGATTACAAATTAACATGGACAGATGGACAGACGAACGGACGGACATCATAGCTTGATCGACTCAGCTCGGCGGGATAGGAAGATCCATATATAGATTCCTTTGTGGGGGACAATATTTCAAGTTGTTACATAATTTTTGGCTCAATCAAACTTATAATACACCCAACACATAGTGTTCATTCGTACAGGGTAAAATATACATTTTTTAGTTCCACTTACCCACTTTCACTTACCCAATAAACACAAAAATAGTAAAAATGCTGTAAGTTCGGCCGGGCCTTACTTTGAATACCCTCCAGCATTTGGAACGAATTTGACAATTCTCAAAAACAATAAAAATCGTTAAAAATTCAAAATACCGAATATCGGGAGGTACCGTTATATGGAGCCTATACGAAGATGTGGACCTGCACAGACAATTTTCTTTCTTAGGCTGTAGTATCCATTACGAACTTCAAATACCAAATTTGACACAATTCCGCTGAATAATATCGCTAAAATCATCAAAATACCGAATAAGGGGAGGTATCGTTATATGGGAGCTATACGAAGACGTGAACCTGCACAGACAATTTTCTGTCATAGGCTGTAGTATCTATTATGAACTACAAATAACAAACTTGAAACAATTCCGGTGAATATTGTCGCAAAATACCGATATCGGGGGGTACCGGAATATAGAATACTAGCAAATGCCCGCTACTTCGTACGCGGAAAAAAGGATTTATATTATAACCTCCATTTATAAGGGAGTTTTTATGCAATTTCAAAATTTCGCTGATTGCAATCCCAATTGATTTTGCATTTGAGTTCTCATTGGACATATCGTCATATCATATTTTGAAATCTCACATTTTAACGCGATTTTTTGGGATTTTATCATTTTCTTCCAAGAGACAATTTGGATTTGTCTGAATCGTTAAAATCAGCGGTTCTTGAGTTAAAAGCGTAGTAACTAACACAACTTTCTTTTATATGTAATATGT